GATGGAAACTAATCAAGGAGAGAAGCAACCAAGAACTAAGGAGAAACTTCCTGACAGTGAGAACAATTAATCAGTGGAACAGCTTGCCTCCAGAAGCAGTAAATGCTCCAACACTGGAAGTTTTTAAGAAGAGACTGGATAGCCATTTGTCTGAAATGGTGTAGGGTTTCCTGCCCGAGCAGGGGGTTGGACTAGATGACCTCAAAGGTCCCTTCCAACTTTACTATTATTATTATTATTATTATTATTATTATTATTATTATTATTATTATTATTATTATTATTATTATTATTATATGCACTCATTCTTGTGTCTCTTCACGTAGTCTGCATCAAGCTGTTTACATCGCTCATTCCAGTAAACTTCATTATCCTTCTTTTGCTGCCCTCTGGAAAGCTGCATTCAATCTTCTTTCTTTTTCCATATGCCTGCTTGCCTTGGCTGCTTTTCTTTCCTCAGCTATTTTTTATGGTTTCATCTGACAGCCACTTTCACTTTTTCTCTGGTTTCTTGTGTGGTATGTATTTTTCTGCAATTCCAATAATGGCTGATTGAATTTCCTGCCACAGTTCATGAGGTATCTTCTCGTCAGTGTTCAGTAGCTTAAACCTATTTTTCACCTCTATTGCTTATGTAGTAGGGATTTTGGGGACATCAAACTTCTTTGGAGGCACTGCCTTTTTGATGGTGCATAGTTTGATTTTAATTGTGGCCACCAACAGTTCATGATCTGAGCTGCAATCAGCACTTGAGTATGTCTTAACAGCAAGGACTGAGCTGTATAAGCAACACGTGTGTTGTTAGGACCATGTATTCATGATCCTAAATCTGTTTTCTTGGCAAAACTGTAGCAAACAATCACCTGCATCATTCATCTCACCTAGTTCAAACGACCAATGATGCCTGTCTCCACTTGTTTGCCAACTTTTGCATTAAAGTCACCCAGGATGTGAACAATGTTTTTCATGGACCATGGCATAAAATGCCTCTATTTCAAGCTCTATTGAAGCAGTCACGGGGGCATAGACTTGGACAATTGTGATTTTGAGGGTCTTGGCACAAATTCTGACAGTCATAATTTTGTCACTGACAGTTGAGAAATTTTCCCCTGCTCTAACAAATTACTTGCTTACAAAAAAAAACACTACTCAATTTGTTTTCCTGGTATCATGTCCTGAATAATAAACAGTGAAGTCCTCAAGACTGGGAGAAGCTATTGTCCGATTAGTGTAGCTAACTGGCACCAAAAAAATCAATTTCCAATCTGATCATCTCACATTTGGCAATGTTTATTTTACCCTATCTCAATACAACACAAACATTTGTTTCTGCCACTGGCTGCCTTAGCAACTGGTATTCCTTCTGTCCTATCATTAGGCATCGTTTCAGATCCTTTCCATAGGATTTTCTTGGCAATTGTTTTGCAGAGAAGTCACCAGGTCTTTTTCTAACCCTGTAACTTACTTTTTGCCCAGGGACAATAACTGCCGTGGTCCCTGTTACCCCAAATGATAACCAAGCTGGTATGGGGATTCTTTTTTTGTTCTTTCATCATGATTAATGGGTTTCTGGATACTCTTAGTCTGGCTCCTCCATTGAGATCTATCTGTTTGTGAGATCCTTCTTTTATACTTTCTAGTGATATACCTCCAGCATACCTCTCAACCTTTATCCACAGAAGCAAACACTGCTATTAACATTTTATTATAACTTCTGATTCCATTTTTCAAAATTATCCTTCAGCATTTTCAGTGTTACAATATTTTGCATCCTTTGTAACTGTTTAATCAGTTTTAGAGATGCTTCTGCTTTAAATTAAAGCCTTTGGTTCCCTCTAGTGCCCATTTTTTAAAATGGTTTATCTCTTTTATATTTAAAATGTGTCAACTTTCCCACAAATAAGATTCTTAAAATTAATTCTAAACTCTTAATTCAAATTTATCTGGATCCTTAATCCATTTATAACTTTCTAAAATCAAAGTCTTTTTGCTATTTATTTCATTTTTTTTAATTCTTTCATTAAGAATTGAAGAAACTCACCTAGTATTTTCAGATTTGTTGATCCAGTGGTTTCTAATACTGAAAATGAGTTAATAAGTAATTTCTGAATGTGATTAGAAAAAGAAGTACATGAGTGTAGTGTCCTTCTAAAGTTATTGATTGTGTTTTGAGCAAGATGGTCATCCTTATTTGGTGACAACTTAGTGTTGAAGTTGAATGGATTAGAACAAGGGTGTTAAACTAGCAGCCCGCGAGCCAGATGTGTCACGTGCAGGCCACACCCATCCTGGCTTCACAAAGGCAAAAAACATCACGATACGTCATGATATGTCACGTGACACAATCCAGTTTGACACCTGTGGATTAGAGTCTTGCATATAGGCTTGAATAAATTTTCTGCGCTTCAACTTAATGGGTGGTGCTGATTCTTTGCACTTGGTAACAGCAAAAGTAAAGTATTATCATCATCATCATCATCATCACCACCATCATCATCTATCAATTTGTCCCCTGATGTACAGATTTGGTCAGTCTATCTAAAACTACAGACAAAATATTTCTTTCTAAATTTCACAAGCAAGTAAAACTTGGGCATTAAAGTTATAATACTAAGTGAATGCTGGCTCTGTGATGAAATCTCAGGGTGGCAGAGGAAGCGTCTTGGGCATTATTAACTGCATATGGCAATTGCTCACTCTACAATCTTGGGTCACAAAAAGTTATTCCAATGTTTATAACATTCTACTTGTCTCTTGCCTGTCTATTAATATGTCATCTGTATTTAATCAGTCATGTGACATACTTCACAATCTTTGTTTTAGTGCAGTTTATATTCAGCCAGACTCCTAATCTGACTTATGTCTGTGAAAACAAACAACATTTTCATAAAGCAAAAAAGAGGGTCCTTTGCCAGGCAACCTTACAGGGTGATAATGCTGCTGTGAAAAGGCAAGATATATAATTAAATAATTTGTATAGATGTTATGTAATCATGGAACTAACAAGTAACCTTGCTCAATGCATTTTTTTAATTATGGATCCTATCTGACAGTTTGTCTCTAATACTGGAATGGGTATCACTACACAAATGATAAATTAACAAAAGGAGCTGTCTGACAATACTAATTTCACTCAGTAAGTTTCACCCATATCTTAACAACAAATCAATTGCTGACTTGAAATCTACCGAAGCATCATACTGGGCTGTCTTGGAAATTGACTTTCCTTTGTTACTCAGTGGGGTAGGATCAAAATCTGACTGTGTTTTGTTTGAAGCTTGCTTGCTCATCTACTAAAGTGTTGTATTACTGAATTTAATCTTGAGATATCAGCAATAGATTCTTAATAGAATCTGTTTATGAATATTTCTTTAACAGCTTGATCAGATCTCCTCCCCCTTAATAGGAATAATGATAGTTAAATCTCAATCGTTGGGTATGACTATAGCATGATCTGTGGCAGTAAAAAGTGGTAAATAGAAGAAGCTATCATTCATATGTCTGCTTTAAGAACATCTGTGAATCAGGTCATTGCCAGGGACTTTTCAAATTGACATAGTTTAATCCAGGGGTAGGCAACCTTGGCTCTTTTATGACTCGTGAACTTCAACTCCCAGAATTCCTGAGCCAATTCTGGAAGTTGAAGTCCACGAGTCATAAAAGAGCCAAGGTTGCCTACCCCTGGTTTAATCAATTCAGAGATCTTTTCACTGTAACCTGTGGTCAATATTTAGCAGTTTCCAAGTCAAATACAAACTTGGGCAGGAGAAACAACAGTTGCAAAGGGAACCTAGAATAATTTTGGATGATTTGGCTTGCTCTTTTCCAGGCCACTCCCAATCAATTCCAAAATGAGGCTGGGTTTTTTGGGGGGGGAGGGGTGCATAAATTTAGTCCTGCCAATCATGCTTCTGGTTCCACATTTTCAATTTTTCTTTATTCTTTTAAACTGGACACTTATAAATAGGAGGAAGAAATAGAAGACCTGCACCTCTATATGATTTGTAAGTTTTTAGCAGATATATCCCTCATGTCAAGTCATTTTTAGGGTTTTATATTAGAGACATAGGACGTAGAAGCTAAATTATTGATTCCTGTTGGACTTTGATCTGTCAAAAAAAAAATGAACCTAACCTTAGGGCACTGATGTAAGGCTTTGCACCTCCCAAATTTAAAAAAGTTATTTTCATAACTCATTTTTGAATTGGCTTTAGGAAAAATAACAACATAAACAAAGCAAGCAAGTAGAATTAAACCTTACAGCCACTTGTATATGGCATTAGTGCATAGAGGATCTCTAGTGACATTTATATATAATTTGGTAAAGATCCAAGTGGTATTTCCTTTTTTTGGCCTGCGTTTGTCAATGTTTGGCCTTGAGTGAAAAGCTTGGAGGTCATCAGTTCAATGAAACCTAAAAAAAGCTCCATCAAACTATCCATTTTAAAATATATTTTGGTTTTTTAAAATTGTGATAGGGGAGTGAATAAAATTTCCATCATATTCAGACCCTTTGTGTTTATTTTATGCCTTGTTCCCCCGGTCTCAAAACTCAAATTTATCCAACCTCATTATTTGGTTTAGTTACTGAAGCTTTGGTGGACTGCTGTGGATCAATTGTTAGGTACCCTGATGCTCTGGTGAAGACTTTAAAGTCCTGGGCTTGTTCCATGACATGTTTTGCCCTTCAGTTTTATCTTTTATTTCTTCTCTATTACAATAATATATCTGCATTGGAAATAATATGCTAGTTGAAAGAGAACAGCAGAGCTCAGTAAGATTTCCAATGAAGATGTCACTGTCAATTTTGATGCTGCATGGAACACAGCTAACTAGCTACTAGCTGCTTCTACTTCAGGGTACATGAGAAGGACCCCCATAGGTATTTGTATGTCATCCAATCTTCCATGCCATTTTTACCTCATGCTGCAGGGTTCTTTAATATATACAAAGTAAAAGCAATCACTACCTATAACCAATTTCTGCTTTTATGCATTTAGATGGAACAAACAGTAATCACGTGTTAACAGATCATCAGCTGATGATTCTTGCAATGAAAATGGGTAAAGACTGGAAAGTCATTGGTATTGGATGCCTGAAGTTGACCTTGCAAGATATCGAACAGATTGAGGCAAAGGAAGAAGATGTCAATATGTATAAATGTATGATGCTGCGGAAGTGGAGAGATTCCGAACAGAATAATGGAACAGCCCATCATTTATATAAATGTCTTGATGGTCAGGCATCCCACGAGGTGCTAGAAATCCTGAAAGGTACCCTTGCATCCTATGTAATCAAAAATTTGTGAGGTTTTTTTTTTGTTATTTCTTATAAATACAGAATCAGGACCCAGCATAAGAAATTTGATCTTACAGGATATATTGTCATATTAGTGCCCAATTTCTCCTTCGTGTTGATATGAAGAATTATTTACCTTTAAGACTTTGTTAATTCATTTATTCGATTTGTTTCCATTGCAAACATATTATTCTTGGATATTTAGAACAAAAATATTAATGAAGTAAAAAAATAAATTCTACAAATGCTCCAATATAAAATAAATAAACCCTCCATACATCAGCACCATTTCAGTTACTGTAGACCTAAAGAATAATCGTCTAAAAAGCCACTATTGTGGGTAGAGTCTTCTATTAACCAGGAAGCTTCTAACATAGAGTCAGTCCCCATGAAACAATAGTGGTATGCCTCATTCCCCCTTCCCATTTGATAGTGGGGGGCCAAAAGCAGTTTCTCTTCTGATGCAAAGCCCAATTCCAGCTGGAGGAGATAGTCGTGAAGGTCATCAGTGTCAAGCTGTGTAGGATTTTATAGATCAAATCCAGCACTTTGAATTTCACTGAAAGCAAATAGGAAGCTAATAAAGGGTCTTATTATGTGGTTGGCATAGAAATATAGCCTGATACGATATTCAAAATTATTAGAAGCTTTTGAGTGTCTTTCAGAAGAAGCCCCATGTAGAGCTCATCGCAATTGATCCCAACTAGGATCTCTTCCATGTTAAAATCAGACAAACCAATTTGCCACCTTTCTTGTTTAACTCCAGTATCATAAAAGGCTCTTCTGTTCCATTTGGTATTGATGTTTATAACTTGCTACATCTTTTATAATGTTGAGTAACTGGGATGTTGCTGTAGAACAAATTTCCCCATTTTGAAAATGTTGAGTAATATGTCCCACAAGGTCAGTTATGATCAATAAATTCAGCTCATTCTGTATTTATATGTAATCTTTCTTAGCGATTACAATTGGGATTATCAGCTTGATACTTAAGTGAAGTATTTGTTAAGTGAAATGAGATTGCTTCAGCGTTCTTTTGCTTTATTGAACTGTAAAGGAGAAAATACAGGGATTGCTCATCAAATTGCTGTAACTGCAAATGGTTGCTAAACAAAGCAGTCGCTAAATGAAAGCTAACTGTAGCAGGCCTCTACACATTTCAACAGAGATTTCAAAGTAGCAGACCTCACATGAGAATCTTTTGACATGTACACAGTGTATTTACTTAAATTCCAAGTATTGCCTAATTTTACTGCTTTATTTTTTTTCAGGTTTTTTTGCAGCAAACGTGAGTTAATATGGAAACAACTTCAAACAGAAATATTGGGAATATTCTTTTGCAAATTTTCCAGTTGCCTAAAAGGAATTTTGTTGTGAACTTAGCAACACTTTAAAATTAACAAAAGAAAATGATGGACCGATTATTGAAACTCTGGATTCAATATGGTTTGGGAAGGAAGCAAAATGAGGGGAATCGTGAACTTCTGTAAAGGCATTTCCCTCTACATTTTACTTACAGGTTCCCAGAGACATTTGCACAATCAACAACTCCATCACACCCAGGAGAACTGGTGCTTTCCCAAAATGTTTTCAGTTTGTTTGTTTGGATTAGGTGGGATCTTCTCTTTCTGCCTTTCTTTTCCACACACATATGAAAATCATCAATCTGGCATAGTGTTGCAAAGGCACTTTCTAACTGTGCATGCCCGAAAATAGAAGCATTCATTACAGAACATTCATCAAATGTTCTCATTCTAAATTCTATCCCTACTGTAGCTTTCAGACCATTTTCTGGCTATCAGGCTTAGAAATGAAATTTCTGGTCCCTTGCAACATGTTTGGTTTCAGTTAATGTAATAAACAAAACTTAGGGTTCCTCAAAAGTTTATTAGGGATTCCTCAGTGAGACAACTAATAATGCAATATTTGTTTCTTGGAAGATATTGTGGTTGTCCTAAAATTCTTCTGCAGGATGCAACTGAAGGGATGTTGGATGCATTTTACTTTTTCTGTGGTATTTAAATCACTCATGGACCTTGTTCCATAGTTTTTATTTAGAGGGCTGGCAAAATATTTAGAAATCCCCTGCTTTTTTGTTCAAAAGTATATTAAAGCAGTTCAAAATTTCTGTGAAAAAACACTGATCTTCAGAGGATTTATATATATAGAATGATACCAATTTGCATAAATAATTCCTGTTTTAAATGGCAGTTTGGTTTTAGTGGGAGGTGAGAAGCATTGATGAACTCCAATTGTCAAAATACAGGAAATACTTAGCCATTATTTCTCCTGAAAATGTTAGCTTGTTCCTCATTTTGTAGTTTTGTGAGTATCTTATGCATTCTTAACATAGTGACTGCCATGCTAAACCTAGCCTAATTGAAATTAACCCCATTTTCAAGAAGACAAGCAATTGACCCTAGGCTAAAAGAAAATCAGTTTCTCTAAGGAACTAAAAAACAAGGTGTAGGTGAAATCTGAACTAACACAAAATCAATCTTTTTAAATCCACAGATTTTATTTCAGCTCTCATTTTGTAAGTAACTCCTCTGATGATGTTCAGAGAAAAATGACTTAGGCAAGAAACTGAAGACCAGCTATCTGGTTTCAGGGCTAAATGATACTGCTTTTGTGAACCATGTTGAAATAGAAAAGATATAAAACACCAAACAAATAGAAAAACAAATGCCCAGGTAAAATGGATAGAGAATAACTCTATTACTACTTACCTCCTTTTAAAATCTGAGGAGTGTCCATGATGCCCTTTTTTTTTTTTTTTGCCTTTCCTGTATGGCCAAGAATGTTTAAGTGAACTGTTGTTAGGGTAGCCAAAGCTGGACTGCAAAATTTCAGGAACTATTAAAATGGTATAAAGAGAGACAAAAGACAAAACTAACTCTTTGCTGATATCTAGTGATTGCTTGGATTTTTGCAGTCTAGATACAGTGATCTTAATTCTCGGGCCATATTTGCACAGCACTATTATAAGCTACTTTGGATATAAAAACATTATGGGAGATTTTCCATCACACCAATACGCTTTTGTCATGTTTTAACATTTTCAACAAAAATCAGGAATTCCAGAACTTGGCCTAGAGCAGGGGTAGGCAATCTTGGCTCTTTTATGACTTGTGGACTTCCTCTGGGAGTTGAAGTCCACAAGTCATAAAAGAGCCAAGGTTGCCTATCCCTGGCCTAAAGCATTATGTTGGAAACCTTAGGAATGTCTGAATGAAGATGAGGACTAAAACCTATTTGAAAGCACACAATTTTTCACTCCATAATCCAAAAGCATTTTACAAATACTTTTGTAGAATTATATGTATACAGATTTGCTATTTATTTAGCTATATTTTTCCAAAAGTTTCCCTGTATTAGTGGATACATTTGATGATATAATTTATCACCCCCCCAGTAATGTAGGAAATCCACCTCTCAATGAAACTTTGGCCCTAAAAATTAATTTTGTAATCACAAAAGTATATTTTGCCATGTAAAACTGGCATCAAATTCCGTAAGATACCTCAGATTTTTTTTTAAAAAAATCTTTTTTAATGTAGCATTGGATTTAATTTCAGAACTGTAGATAGAATGTATATATTGGTGCATAAATATTTCTTGTGATAGAAATTTTTTTGATGAGATGTTGATTTAAATAGATTGTATTTTGTATTTCTTTTATAATTCATTAAAATTAAATACATGTACATGCCAGTGTGCAGTCTTATTTATATTGAAGCAGTCTAAACAGTCACTGTTTAGTGACTGTTTAGGCCAACTCTGCTTTGCAGTTTCTCAAAAGTTTTCTTTCCCTAAGAATGAAACTTCTCTTTCTTTCTTGTTTTCTGGATATTTAAGAATTTTTGGGGGACTTTTTCATTGTAGCACTTTGGGGCTTATTTGAAGACAAACATAACTTTATTTTGGTTATTGACCAATAAAAGTACAATCAATAAAAGGAACAACACAAAACTATCTCCTAAATAACAAGAACTATTAGCAACAATTTGTGGGCAAAGCTTACACATAATGTAGTAAAATGTTGCTTCTTTTATAGATACAAATTTATCTTGATTATTTAACAGATAAATAAAAGCTATCAGAGTGCCCCTGAAATTTAAATAAACAAGGGTAATCAGCCGGTAGCGTAAATCTCTGTAGAACTTGCAATATAGAAGAACATGGGCTGTGGTTTCTATGATATTTATATCACAAGGGCAACATTGGGTTTCCTATGTTTTCCTTCCTGGACAGGGATTGTGTTATTATTGGAGATAATAAAGGGGTTACTTTATTATTGGGGACAAGGTTTAATCCTAATCTAGTCTTTTACTCTTTTAATATTAAAGCCCTTCTAGCTGTCCGCATTTCTGTATATCAGAAAAAATTAACATCCTGTTTTTGTTGCAGAAATACAGCAAAGAGTTGGAAATATAATTGTACAGCCATAACTTAACAGAAAGTGAGAGTTGCAAGGGATTTTGGAGTTCATCTAGTCTAACCCTCTACCCATTACAAGAATCTGCTACTCCAGCTTCCCTGACAAATAATCATCTTGTCTCTGTTGAAATACTTCCCATGAAGGAGAAACCACCACCTCACAAAGCAGTCTATTCCAAGATACTCAAACTCACAACATCTATTTTGCAATTTAAAAAGGGCCCTAGCACCCCAATCACCTCCAAGATGTCTATTGGAGGAGCATTAATTGCAGCAGGTGTGTTTTTTTTTCAAAAGACAACTTTACTTTCTTGATATTTTCTTTGAAAATGTGTCACTTATCGTCCAAAAAGCTTCTTCAGTTCTAACTGACCCGAGGGAATGGAAGGATTTATATTCTTTGCAGTCATCTGGTCATTAGCACTCTGAGGGTTGGTTGTTAGGTCTCTGAGAGTCATTGAGGCTACTTGGGATTTATTCAGAAGTCACCTGAATCGGAATATATATGGGTGTGGAATTTTTGTGGGACTTCTGAAAGGACTGTGTTGTAAACAGGAGACAGGTGGTGTAGTATCCCTCCCCCATTGTTGAGGGAGGGCTGTTCAGTTTTAACAAAGAATATAAATCATTCCATCCCCCACCAGTCAGTTAGAACTGAAGAAGCTTCTTGGATGAGAAGTGAAAGTACAGTTGCCTTTTGGGAAGAAAAACTTGGAATTACCATGACCTGGATGATTGAGAATCTCCATAGATATATATCCAATGGCATCCACAGGGGCAATCCAAACATAGATGTACAAAAGAAAACTTTAGTTAGCAGTGTTATGACCACCATCTTGCCTGTTCAGTCACCCCTCTTCTCCATGGACGTCACTACCAAGTCTACTACATACATAGTTACTTGGCAAACAATGTTCCTTTTTTAGGATGTTTTAGTGACTACATAGGACATTCCCAACATAGCCAACATAGCTGAATTGGAAGTTCCAAATTCCTTGAGCAGAAGTGAGTGCACTATAATGGTTTCTGTGTGTAGTTCATTCTGTTTATATCCTTCCTTCACAAAAAAGCATCCCATATTCATTTAAAAAACACTGTAATTAGAAACAACCCTGCTCCATGATAAATGACACCAATAAGAAACAAAAAGCAGAAGTTAAATAAAAAAGCAGTGGATATGTAAAAAGAAAGAAAAATGGGAGTGGAAGAAACTTATAATCTAAATTATAAGGCCAGAAAGCAAAAGACTGGGAGTTAAGTCCCATCTTAGCCATGAAAGCAGCTGATTGATTTTGCGCCAGTCACTCACTCTCAGCCCAACTCTCTCAGGGTTGTTGTGGGAAAATGGGAGGAAGAAGGTGTGTTGTATATGTTCACTACCTTGAGTTATTTGTAAAAATAATAAAGGTGGGATATAAATAGTCAAGTAAAATTAGAGGGGACTGGTGGCTTATTCAATTGTCCACAATTTGCCCTTTTATGAAGTCTAAAAAGGTATGGTATATATGAATTTTATAATCAAGCTTCTGTTATAGGTATTAATATGAGTTTTGAGAAGATTACCCTCTTTTTCCTGTTTTTTAAAAGTTATTTAGCCATTCAAATATATGGAGCACAAAATGATGAAGAGATAAAAATTAATTATCTTGAAATCTAATCAGAAATGCATGGGACAAAAATGGGCTAATGAAGTGACAAATTAAATAAAGAAAAAATAATGAACTGTGGGTTAAAGTGAACAATTTTTTAAAATTCAGTCATCACTGAATAAATTGATGGAGATGCCAACAACTAATTTATGGTTTCAAAGCAATGTACCTAAAGAACCATGTCAAATAAGAATTATGAAGGATATCTAATTGAATGCAAATGTTAGCAAAATAAAATAAACCTTAAAGGAAAGGATGTTTCTAGAATGTATAAAATATTTGTCTCTTGTCTTGCCACTGCATGTTTGCAGTTTTTACTCTTGCACATTTGTAATGGTAGAGCTGGTTAAGAACTTTAAATCTGTGTCTTAAGGAAGTCCTTTTTAGATGATAATTTTATTTTACTTTAAATCACAAAGCATATAACTATTGGGCTACCAGATCTGAGCTGCAAAAATCCAGGTGACCAATAGATAGCAGCAGAGAATCATTTGTGGCTTTTATGAATCTGTTTGCTGCCATCTAGTGGTCTTCAGCATGCTTGCTTCTGAAAAACAATCTTAGAAATTTGTTCTCACGTGTGTAATATACATTTGCACCAATGTTCCCACCCCCTGCAATTGCCTACCTCCCCCAAACGTTAAACATGGCTCTTGGTCATTAGAAAATTGCATATATCTGGTACAAAAATCAATGAGTCTCAGAAAATAAACATAATAAAGATAGGATATAAACAAACAAACAAAAAATACTCTAAGCATCTTTTAAATCTTAAATGAATGTGTCTTTTATCATATTTATTTTTAGCAATGAACAAACCACACTATAACTTTATAATTTAGATTATAAATATAAATTAATTTAGAAGGTTTTTATATATTACATATACATTATTTGCTAATAATTAGCCAGTGTCATCAAATAACTTATCACTTGACATTAAGATTAGCATAAATCTATTACAGATCCAATTTCCTTATTTAAAAAAAATTTATGAAAGGCACAATATGGAAGAGCCGAGGTGGCGCAGCAGTTAGAGTGCAGTACTGCAGGCCATTTTAGCTGACTGTGTTCAGCAGGTCAGCGGTTCAAATCTCACCGGCTCAAGGTTGACTCAGCCTTCCATCCTTCTGGGGTAGGTAAAATGAGGACCCAGATTGTTGGGGGCAATGTAAATATATATACATTGCTTACTGGTGTACACCGCTTAGAGAGTGCTTGCACTTAAAGCCGTATATAAGTCTCATAAATAAATAAATAATAAATAAATATAATTTTTTCAACTAAATAAAAAATAAGAATGAAATATAACTAAAATTTTAGTGCAAGAAACAGAAAATTTTAGTGCCATAATAAAGAGAAAAACAATAGTCATTTGGATTAAAATAAATTAAGAGACATAATGGGATATTCAATTATAAGCTATAATCTTATAAGCACTTTCCTCAGTATAAGGCTGGTTCCAGATTCAGCAGACCCTCACTTGGGAGAAAGTCCTGCCTGTCTTCTTTTCCTTTTGGTAATCAATGGAACTAGAATTTGATGCATCAATTGTGGGACTCAGAAAGATTATTGTAATTATACTGAACCTCCAAAACCAAAATGAAGGTCAGATTTATGATGCAGAGTGAAGGAAAAAAATGGTTACAGAATTTTTTTTTTCCTTGGGAAGCCCTGCTTTTATTGTTATAGTTAGGCATTGCAATTCTGGAAAGGTGATATTTGTTAAAAAAAATAATTAACAGAGAGAGAAAAAAACCTTGTATATGGCACCCATGGATTCTTCTGTATTAATTCTCTATGGTTGGTATTGCCAGTTTCTATTAGAAAAGATGGGATCTAGCTTTCCTTGCAACCATTATTGCACTGCCAAATTGGTGTTAGATAAGAACACCTCATAGGCCACTTGGCTTCATGAATTTTACTCCTGTGATTTGCTCAGGGCATGCTACAGTGTGGAATTATCTGTTTTAGATATTATTAATCTTATGTCAAGGGATAAAGTTGAGATAGATTGTGCTTGATTTCTCTCTCTCTCTTTCATAGATCATTTAAAGTATTTGAGGATCAATAATTCTTTTCGCAGAATTTAAATTCTCTTCCTTTAGTTATCATTTCTTGAGGCTTATGAGGTATGATAAACTCCTGTGGATGGTTTGAGAGAGCTGTTGCAAAATTTGCAAAGTACTGCATTGCTTCATTTGCACCTCATAATTCTCAATTAAAGGAGTCTGAGATGAGGACAGTGGTTGAACTTGGGTGTGACTGTCATTCAAAGCCTGAAAAAGATGCATAACAAAAAAAGAAAAGATTAATGCCAACTATTGAAACTAATCTGTTACAGGTCGTCCTCGACTTACAACTATTTAGTGACCATTTGAAGTTATAATGACACTGAAAAAATGACTTATGATTATTTTCATACTTATGATCATTGCAGCATCCCTGTGGTCACGTGACCAAAATTCAGATGTTTAGCAACTGGTGCATATTTATGATGGTTGCAGTGTCTGTCCCGGGATCATGTGATCATCTGACAAGCAAAGTCAATGGGGAAATCAACAGATTCAGTTAAGAACTTTGATTTACTTAACCACTGATTTACAACTGGTGATTTACTTAACC